ATTTTTTATATTTTAGGGAAGGGCCTACAGGGTGTTCAGGGTCTCACTACTAGATTGGACTCTAGTGATCCACCTGTTTACAGTCTCAAGAGCTGGGATTACAGGGAGGTGTCATCACGTCCAGGGTCAATTGCCACCTCAAAGCAAGCCCCTGGGGCGGGGCAGGCTGGTGGGTGGAACCCCTAGATCCTCTGAGCTATTTGGCCAACCTAAAAGACTTTTATGTTAAGTGGAGAATTAAAAACTATTTCTTCAGTGTTAGACCTCTTTCTACTTTCTGGAACACCAGTCACTTACATTTCTCTTTAGGTAAGTGAGACTGTGCCTTTTTTTTTTTGGTCTTTTTCTCTCCTTTATATTAGATAATACCTATTTATTTGTCTTCTTTTTCTGCTATTTTCTATTGGCTGTTAATTTCATTCAATGACTTAATTTTTAGACTTTTAGTCTACTATTTTCATTTTTTAAATAGTTTCATTGTTATGATTCTCTGTTAAACTCATTTGGACTCTTAAGTATATTTATAACAGGAACTGGAGTACCTCTCGAACATACCATTGGATATATTGAAAACAGCTACCTTTTAGCTTTCATGTATTTAAATGTGTGGTTAACCTGGGCATCTATTGATTGCCTTTCTGTGTACTCTGTATCACATTTTCTCTTTTTTTTCCACATGTCTGGTATAAAAGTAATAATAAAAGTTTCCAAACAGGCTAATAAAGTAACAGTAAGTAATAACATCATATATTGTTGTCTTCATAATAGTTACTCAGAGTACAAGATATAGGCATGAGATATTGTCCAAATAATATTAGTGCAAACCTTTCTTTTCAGTGAACTAGCAAACTACCTATAACTATCCTACCTAGCTTGTGTATATTATGTGGTAGGTATCGTGAACTGTTGAAGAGAAAAGAGAAACTGTGATAGGAAAAGAAAAAAGTTGTTGTTGTTGTTGTTTTCCCTCAAGCAGGGAAGTTAAATTATTGACTGTTAACTCTGAAATTGTGGAGGCTTCATTTTCTGCTTTGTTAGTGGGTCTTTTTTAGTTTGGTCCAATAGTTAAATATTAAGCTGTGGTCTTTTGGGGGTTACCATCCTCCACTGTGATGATTTTAAACTTCAGATTTGTTTGTCCTGTGGCCAGCAGAACTAATCTCAGCTCCCCTCTTCTGCCCTTTAAAGCTGTTGAGTTTTCTAGACCTCTTGGATTCTAGCTGACATAGAAGCACTTTTTGAGTGCTTAGAGTTAAGATTTGAGATTTTATTGCAGATTTGTTGGATCCTTTCTTTGTGGCTCTTCCTTCTGTAGGCTTATTTTCCATTCCATTTTACAGTTTCTCCAATCTTTAGAACTCAAGGTTTCTGCTTCTGTTGTAGCTGTCCCAAAATACAAAGATTAAGTAGTTCTTCAGGGAAAAACTAGTATAAAGACCTCAACCAGTTGCTTTCTTTTGAGTCTTGTCTTCTTTTTCTGCCTACTTTAGAGAGATTCATTCTCCAGCACCATCTGGTGATGCTTCTCCCTGCACTGGTAGTGGGAATTGAACCCAGGGATTTGCACATGCTAAGCAGGCCCTTGACCATTGAGCTATATGCCTAAACCCTTTTATTTTGAGACAGATTCTCTCTAAATTGCCCACGCTGGCCTTGAGCTTGCCATTGCTCCTGCCTTAGCCAGGATCATAGGAATGTCACCATACCCAACTAGGGCACTATTTTTATGTCCAAAGTTTTATTTATCTGAAGGAGGATAAGGCCAATCAATATAAGCAATTCCTTCATTACTGGTCAATTTATATACTTAACTGTGAGTATAGGGTGTGAGTTCATGTTTTTTGTTAGTTTCATAGAGTACTTTATACTTTCATGACTTAAGCTAAGATTCTTTTTAAGGAAACTAAGTATTTACATATTACATAATTAACTGTAAGGTGGGAGACTAGCAATTGAATATATTATAATTGAAATTTAAAAAATTTTCTAGGCTAAGTGCTATTTATGGTGGTACCTACATGTTGAATAAACCAATTGAAGAAATAATTGTGCAGAATGGAAAAGTGGTTGGTGTAAAATCTGAAGGGGAGGTAAGTTACTCTTACAGTTTAAGAATATTTATTCTTGTGAAGAAAATTGTATTTACTAAGTATATTTTTGGTGGGGCATTGGTGATTATTTTATAGATTGATTTCCATGTGATAAGCTTGTATTCATCATAGTAAAGAACTGGTATGGTTGCTGTGCTTTAAAACATGAAACTCTTAACATTCTTTTATGTCAGTTATTGCTTCTCTTAGGTCTACAGTATGTAGCATTATGGATGAGTTTTAAATTGTAAGTATTCTGTAATTTAAGTAGTATGTGTTGGTGCCTGTCCTCAAATTTTTGTTTGAATTTAGCTTTATTTCATCAATTTATTGGGTGAAACAGGCTGGAGTTCTGAGCTGTACTGCTCAGATTTGAATCACATACAGTGCAACTGATTGTACAGTGTGAAAAAACTTTGTCCTTAGGTGATGATACTAATGTCTGTTATTAAGAAACATTCCTCAGTGTTTCCCTTTATCACTATATTCAGTTACTTTTTTTTTTTTTTTGCGGAACCGGGTTCAGTTACTTTTTGCAACACCCAAAATTAAGGAAGGAAGGGTTTATTTAGCTCACAGTTTGTGGAGGTTTGAGTGTATACTATGAGGGCAGAATGCCACATGGCAGGGGGCCGCAGTTCATGGCAGTGGGAAACAAAAATATCAAGAGCAAAAAGGCAGGAGCAGTGGCAGCAGAGAGCAAGTCCGGCTTCCTTATGTTGCATTTAGGCTGTCTGCCCTAGGCCAGGTGTAGCACTCACACCTATAATCCTGCAGCATGTACACCCATAATCCTAGCAGCACTCACACCTGTAATCCTAGCACTGTATGATGAATTAATCACAAACTCTAGAAGTCTACCCCATAACTGCATGAGGCTTTCTGGGGACAGCTAGTTACAAAGCATAATAACAATATACAACTGAAGTTTTCTGTCATTTTATTCAGTTACTGTCCTGAACAGTTCTGTTCTAGAGGATGTACTCCAGAGTACTATCTACGTATTTGTGCCTGAAATACTACAAATTAAAAGCTTGAGCTGAGTGAGAACATAGGAACTTCTTGGATGGGTTCTATTTTTATTATTTAGATTCCATCAGAAATGAAGATTTGATACTAAATTTTAGTGGCTCATACAGAATGAGAGAAAAAACACAAGATTGACCTAGGGAAGAAAAATCTAATAATTATGAGAACAGTTTTAAAATCTCATTATCCCTCACAGTGGTACCAAGAAGCAAATTGTGTACACTAAGGCTTCGATTAAGAGGCATCCACGAGAGGCACACAGCTGACTGAGTGGTTCCAAGTGTGCTGCTATATACTATTTCATTTAGAGTCAGGATTTGAATTCTGAGCAGTCCAATTCTAAGATTCATACTTTTGAATACTATGCAACATCCATGGGGAAGTTAACAGGGATTGGTAAAGCTAGTTTGTGTGTGTGTGTTTGTGGTACTGACCTGTATCACTACCTTCTTTTGAAAATTTTATTGAAGGGAAAATTACATTATGTTTTTCAGTGTTGGGATGTGAACCTAGGGTCTTGCAGATGCTGTGCAAGTGTTCTGTCACTGAAGGATTTCTCCAGCCCAATATAAACATTATCATTTCCTCCCAACTTTAAAAATGTGGATAAAGTACATAAAACATTTATCATTTTAAGTGTACATTTCATTGGATTTATTTTTGGTTTTTGAGATAAGTTCATGCTGTATAATTTAAACTGTCCTGAAATTTCCTATGTAGCCCAGACTGGCCCAAGACTTGTGGGGATCCTCTTGCCTCAGGCTTGCTAGTGGTGGGATTACAGATGTGCAGCATCATTCTTGGTAGTTCTTTGCTTTTTAG